TCTCCCCCTCCCCTCCCTCCCTTCTTCCTTCCCTTTCTCCCTCCATCTCTCTCTCTGCATAATGTCTGGCCTTGGTGAGTCTCTTTATTTGTTCCCATCTGCTGTAGGATGAAGTGTCATTAATGATGGCTGAGTAAGGCCTGGTCTATGAGTATAGCATATCATTAGAAGTTATTTTATTGTTACTCAAAAGACCTCAAAACATAGTATTTTCTTTTACCCTTTACCAGATATCTGGGATATCTGGACTCTGATTCTTGGTCATCCAAGCTGGGCTGGGTATGGGCTCCTTCTTGTGGAATGGGCCTTAAATCAAATCAGATACTAGTTGATTACTTCCCTAAATCTTGTAACATCATTGCCCTAGCATATTTTGGGGTCAGGACAAATTGTAGCTCAAAGACTTTGTGGCTGGGTTGGTGTTTATATTTCTCTTTTATTAGCCTAAAGAGTGCCTCCCAGATCAAAAACACAAGAAGATGGGAGTGAAGGTTCTTTGTAGACACCAGCTTACAAGTCCATGTTCAATGGGCTTTGGTGGATGTTTTCTTAGTGAGGTTTTGCTATTCATTTGCTGAGAGCAACATATTATCTTGGTAATCTCTTGAGTTGTTTGTTGATTTCCATAGGATCCCTTTGGTCAACAAATCAACTGGGTGTAACCCACTCCTGGTATTAGAAGCGTAGTTTGGTTACAAGTAATAGTCAGTTGGGACTCCAACTTTGTCATTATTTCAAGACTTCCTTAGGATGCCTTCATATATTTCAGAAAGTTTACATTGTATTTTGACGGTGTCCATACCACCTCTCAAATGCCCAGTTTTTTATTATCACTTTTATGTCATTTGTTTGTGTGTCTGTTCTTATGCCAATATCAAGATTTTGACTATTAGCTTTGTCCTAAGTTTTAAAATGAGATGTAGGAATCACCCATACTTTTCTTTTCAGGCAAATGTTGGCTATTTAGGGGGTCCTCACAGCACTGTGTGAATTTCAGGATGGGACTTTGCATTTTTAACAAAAGGCCATTTAAATTTTATTAAGGGCCACTTAGGCTATGGATTTAGTTGAGAAATATTGTCTTTGTAACATTATTAAAATTCCTATTTTATGAACATGGATATATTCTAGATACATTTCTTACATCTTGCCTTTTTATTTTTAGGCCTCCTCTTAAAAACTAGCAATATTAGTTATTTTCAATGTAAAGTATTGATTCACCTACTTGGTTAAATTCATTCAGATGTAGTTTACTTTTAGGATTATAAGTAGAATTATTTTTTAAATGTTCTTTCCATGTGGTTTATTGTTAGTAAATAACAGATATAAAAGATTTCCAACTGTTTTCTATCATGCATTTTTTTGTTATCTAAATAGTATTGGGTAGATGTTTTAATCTGCTAATATACAAAATCATGCAATCACTGTGCAGGGGACAGGGTTACTTTTTGCTTCGCTGTGTAGGTGCCTTTTGGTCTTCTTATTTATTTTCTCTGGGTAAAGCCTGGAGAGCAATATGAACAGCAGGAGTGAAAGCAAGCATCTTTGTCTTGTTCTTACTCTCAGAGAGGGACTTCCCCATGAGTATGATGTTAGTCGTGGGTGTTTCTTAAGTCTCTCTCACTAGTGGCAGTTAAAATTTTCAGATCCTCAGTTTTCTTTTATGTCGTTCACCCTTTTTCCCTAATTGATTCATTCCTTGGTCTTTCCCAATATCTATGGATGAGCTTCAGCTCCTTCAAAGTGCCATTTTAACCAGAAACCTCCATATTTGGCAGCCCTCTTTTTGGGTGCTTTATTGTTTATTACAGGAACAGCAGATCCTTTCCAAAGGTTCTCTTTGAGTCATTTTCTCATCCCATTTGTTTTATTATATCTATATTATCTACAAACTTCTCTAGTCATTTATTTTTGTGCAAGTACCTTCTACTGAATTATGAGGTTTATTTTCCTGCCTGCATTCAGCCTAGATCACATGGAGTAAAGGATGCCTCTTATTGCTGTGTCTCTGGGATAACAGGTCATCTCTTGGCAGCCAGCTAATTCATCTCATCTGCAGGGAAATCATCCAAGTTCTGGCCAGTATTTCATCTTGTTTAGATGTTGGTAAAGACATTATAAAAGTTGGATGTTTGTGTTTGCTCATTCACAATCTTGTCTTCACAGCACAGACAGAAAAAAAATTGTACTAGTTTAAATATATGTGGACAAAAGTAATAGGGACCTCTTATAAATTGTAATATGCTCTGATGCCACAGTTGATGGATTCAGTGGTTCAGTGATTTTAGATGCAAGCTTGTTCCATCTTTTGATAGTTGTCCTAAGACTGGTTTTTTAGATAGCTACCTGGGGTAGTGTAGTGACCACACAACATTCTTTCTTGTTCACATTCAGGAAGGGGAGGAAAGAGTAAACCTTTCTCTGGCGTGAACTGTAAATAATCTCCTGCACTCTAATTGGGTCAGCTCAAGCTTTGACTGTCTTTTCCAAACCCTCAGATCAACCAACTAGAACAACTTGGATCCATAACCTTGTGGTGTAGAGAAAGGAGTGGACATTTGAACAAAGTCAAATTTCCCAATCATGGAAAGAGAAGTGGGTGACATTTAGTTAGCCTTCTATTAATTCAAAGCAATCACACAGAGTAGACAAATCCTTATCCCTTCTATCTATAATGTGTCACCTCCCATCATTTCCTGTCTTCATTTCCCCTCTACTAGCCACAGCTGCAACGATGTTGAAAATCCTCAGCTCCTGTCTTGATACACCTGCTCTCGTGTCTGCATGACTGCTCATTCCTGTAAGCGGTCTCAGTGCTTACACAGCTAATGCTCCTGGTTCTTCAGGTTTCATTACACAGCTGGGCAGGTCTTTTCCTCATCACCCTCCTATAGGAGGCTTCTGCTGGGCTGTCAGTTGTGGATGCTCAGTCTTGTGAACACCCTCATGACTTCTTTCATCATGACAGTGAAGACATTTTGTAAGTAAACATTTATCAATATGTTTGTTCAGTACCTTTCTACCTTAGTATGACCAGGAGGTGTATGTGACTATAATAGAGAAGTATGGTGTGGACTAAGGGACACCTATCACCCCATCCATGCTCTGTACTTACATCATTTCCTGATCATGCCCCATGTGAACACTGTTGTAATTTTAAAAAGCAACACTCAGAGAAAGATGCCATTTGACAAAACTTGGTGGTGGTGGGGAAGTGAATGGGAAAGGGGGAGGGGAGACCCACCTGTGGGGACAGAAGCAGCAGAAGAGAAGAGAGTGGGGGGAGTGGAGAGACGGAGAGACCGAGAGACAGGCAGAGAAGCATAAAAGAGAGAGGAACAGATAGACAGAGAGAGAGAGGGAGAAAGAGAGAGGGATGAGAGGTGGGCAGGGTGCTTTTAAAAGGGAATACAGTGAATGTGCACAGGTGATGCTCTCAGTCGCTGCAGCTGAGGAACAGAACCCCGAGGACAGGCCAGTAAAAATGCCTGAATACTAACAGACACATCTTTATTTCTTCACATTTTATATGAAATAATCCCCCAATACATTAAAACGAAGCTTCCGGTTTTGATTGTCATAAAACCAAATAGACTAATATTCATTGTTAAAGAGTGAAAGACAATTTTGCCTTTGAACTTCAAATGTTATTCAATATACAGGATTATCAGTGGGTATCAACTGCTCAACATGCATATCTAAAAGGGGGATATTTTCAGAGAACATGAAGTTCACAGTGAGAACAAGAACTGACCTCCCTTATAATGTCTACATTGCATCTTGACTCTGCTAATGAGGCCAAGTGCAATGCAATGCGTTTTATATAGACATATTTTTTTATATTGTCACATTGAAATCCCTCATCAAGTTTTAATAATTAGAATTGCCATTTTATTTTAAATGTATTAGTTATTCATATTCTAATTGTGTGTATATTTGTGTGTTTTTGTGTACGTGTTTGTGTGTGAATGTTGTGTGTGGGTTTAGGTGCCATAGTGCACCTGTGTTGGTTCAAGAATGACTTTGTGTAGTTAGTTCTATTCTCCTATCTTTATGTGGATTCTGGGGGTCTAATTCATCCTTAGGCCTGTGTAGTAGCAAGAACCTATATTGGCTAAACCATCTTGCCACAACCCTGAATTATTGTTTTTATAAGAGAAGGAAAATAGAAATGATGAATCTTAGAAATAAATTCCATTTTGATGGTATACCATAGTTACATAAGGTGTAGCCTCCAAGGGGGCTTGGCTGGAATATCAAATTTCTTAGCACTGGATAATTATTTTAATATAAAAAACTGAAAAAACGTCAGATATGATGATATATTTGTATGTGTCTGGACCACCATTCTTTTGTAGCTAGAGGTCCATTCTTTTGTATGTATATGATCAAGTATAGCCAGGAAATGCAGCCAAAGAAGGCAATACCTCGGTGGTTGTCCATGCAGCCTCCTCCCA